CGGCACACTAGTGTGCCGCGGAACAGTGGTTGAAAAACACTGGATTAGAGAGTCAATCACTTTCCATTAATTGGAGCCGCTCTTCAAAATGGAAAAGATAAAACGAAAATACTACGTTCATAAATCTGCAGTCAGAGCAATAATTGAAAGTTTGAAACACTTGAACTATGGGAAGCAAGTCTGGGCAAAGAACCACCACCAACAGAAAGCTGAATGCTGAGGGAAGTAAAATATCTCCCTGTCCTACCATCACAAATGCCAACTGGAACCGAGTGCTTTGGGTCAGCGTATGTTGAAAGGCCCCTGATACCAATTAATAAGTTTGGTGAAGGATCTGTGATGCTGTGGGCCTGTTTCCCATCCCAGCCAACTTGACAGGTTTCTGTTCTTCTTTCATTTTAAATCTGTTGCCTCAGAAAGCCGAGTTGACTCCACGTCATCTAAACAGCACACGAAATATCTGGAAGCACAACGCTCGCTTAAGGCAAGCACGACGACATTTGATTATGTTAGATCCTTCTGTGTTATCAGCAAGAAGTTCTAATAATCTTTTATTCCCCCACACTTTAAGGCCTTTCTCTTCAGCCGCACAGACCCGCAGTCCAGACTCGACCACGGAGAAATCGCCGTCTCTTCTTCCATGTATTAAACGCTTTTCAGAGGAAGGCTCCGTTTGCTGGGCCAAACGGAAGAAGGACGACAGTGGCGCTGAGCTGCAGGGAGAAGGCAGAGCAGGGAGTAAGGAGAAGGTGGATAATCAGAAGGAAGGTAAACCCTTACAACTTGAAACCACGAGCCAGACCACCACACGTAGCTTCAGAAAGGAGCAGCCGGACAACGAGGTAGCAATTCCTTTTTTTAAAATTATGTTTTAACTCAATTTCCAAGACCTATCAGAGTCTGAGAATGACGTTTGTCAGAATTACAGTTTCAGAAAAATCGTTCAACGTTCCACAGGCTCCAAACCAAAAGCTGAATGTCTCTTATGCAAGTCCCACTTTCAAGAAGCCACTGAGTAAAGCTGGAGACGAACCAGATGGGAGTAGAAGAGCGCCTCCGCAGGATCGGAGTGCGACACAGAAATGCCTTCAATCTAACAACGGTCAGTCATTTACAGCATAGAGTAGAGATTTTATTGGGCAAGCCTTTTCTATGGCTGCAACTGATGATTATTTTAGTTACCAATTAATCAGTTATTCTGATTAATCGGTTAAAAATGGTAACACTTGTAGTAATTGTTAATCCAATAAATGGTTGGTTATTCTTTGGATTAATCAGTTAATAAATGGGTACCAAAATCTGGTTAGTAGATTTACAAAAAAAAAAAAAAAAAAAATTAATTATACATAATATGAACCAGGAGAAGTTAAAACTAAGCCTCTTGAGGACTTTTGTGTAGAACGTATTTACAGACAAAAGGTTTTTTGTTTATCTTAGATTCAAAATCGATGTATTTTTTGCAGAGTTGTGACTTAATTACTGCTCTGGATGTGTTGTTCCTTCAGAAAATGGCCTTTTTGGGGGGGTCCAAAACAATTAATCGATGTACTAAATTAGTTGGCAACCGTTTCAACAATCGATTCTTCACGATTAATCGTTTCAGCTGAATGTGGTGTTTTCCCAGCCGGCAGGAAGGGAATGGTGGAGTCCACGTGGAGCATCGACCCGGCGCTCGCCTTGTCCATGTTTGAGAGCGAGGTACGGCATTTAAACACAACTTTGGCAGCTTTGGTGTTTCTATCTTCTTCATTCACATATAAATAATTCTGAAGTATTTTTTTTTTTAAATTACTTCCTTTGCTATGTTTTTAGGAAGTGGAAGAAGAACAGCGACCTGGAGAGCTGGCAGACACCGACTGCACCTGGGTCAGCCACAGCATGCTGCAGCGTCGAGCAGAGGACAGTCAGGACGGGGAACGCGTCAAGTCTGGTATAGGCGATGTTTTTTTGTTTGTTGTTTTTAAAATGAGCGGGCGGAGAAATTAGGTGGTTGATTCTCATAAGGTGTTTAATTTTCCAAGGACTCGGCGAAAAGGCCAACGACAGTTTGGATATGATGTTTGATGCAACAACTTTTGGGGAGTACAAGTCGTACACCTGCTCCAACCTGGATCAGAGTCAGCATTGTGGTGGTGGTGATGATGATGATGATGGCGGGAAAGTTGAGGAGATTAACGGTACGCATTTAGATTGAAAGAATCAATCATTTACAAGGCACCTATTTTGAGTTTGATTTTGATTTATTCATCCAACTAGATCAAGATCTTCCTGAAAGTCCTGCATGCCACAGCAGAACCCGGTAAGAAGGTTCCCAATCAACATGTTAGATTTTTAGTGGGTTGCATGGGTTCCAACGATTTCTTATACGCCTCAGGGAGCCAACGTTTGCGCACGTGGCCGTCATTCGCAAGAAAGACGAGAGGAGAAAACTGAAGGGCACCACATGCAAGGAATGTGAAGTGGTGCGTATTCTGAGTCGGAGCCAGTCCTGAAACGCCAGGTTTGGTTGAAATAATTCCCTGTTCCTTGCAGTACTACGCTCATCTTCCCGAGGAGGAGAAACAGAAGAAGTTATCTGCTTGCTCCAGGCATCGATACCGCTACATTCCACCCTGCACCCCTGAAAACTTCTGGGAAGTCGGATTCCCGTCAACACAGACCTGCATCGAAAGAGGTAACCGACTTTAAGCTGCAAAGACAGGACGACCGCAGCCTTTCAACACCTTGAGCTGAAAGCTTTCTGTGTCTTGCTCAGGTTACATCAGGGAGGAGAAGAACCCTCAGGCTCGTTCACGAAGGCGACAGCCGTTTAATGTTTTGTTCACCCCAAAGAAAAGCCAGGAGCAGAGCTAAATCTGTTCACCCCTAAAATATGACCTGAGCTGGATGTTCCAGCTTTAAATGCGACTGTAAAAACTTTGTGCTTCCTATAGAACTGTAAGATAAAATGCGTGCTATATGTATAGTTTTATTCAGATTATCAGAAAACAAGACATTTTAAAAAAAAATGTGAAATGGTAAAAAATAAAATCTCTTGAAGAAGTGCAAGTTTTTGTCTTTATGGTGGAGATTCTCTGTCCGAATACAGCAGCAGTGCCTCTCCAACATGGCTGCCAACCACACTGTGAAAAAATAATAAGATGTTAATGCTTTTATGTCATTTCACAATGCATATTCTCTAGAAATCAGAGTAAAATTCTAACCAAAGTAGAGACGCAGAGTTAAAGTCCATGTTGAAAACCAAAGGAGAGAGGAGCATGGCTGCGACCTGGGAGGAAACGGTACCAAATAAATGACCTCATATTATATTGAAAGCAGCTGCTGACTGTCGGACATTTTGTGACGTTTACCTTGGACAGAAAAACCCAAATCCTGAAGTGCTCAAGGGACGGCCCACGTTTTAATCTGACCGTGGCCAACAGCAACAAAAACCCCAACAACGCACTGCAGAGGCAGAAACACGGCTGATTCATATATATATATTTTTTTATTTTAAATAGCACATTTTCACATTTATCTAACAATAAGTCATCATAATGTGCTGCTATCTGCAGTCACCTGGCGCAGCAGCCGCAGTGAAACGTGTGGGACTGGAGGGAGGGGAACTCCAAGGCACCGCTAATGTCACCTGCAGGGAGACGAAGTCGTCCGATGTAAACATGCCAAGCTTCGTGAATTCATAGCCAAAGCTGCGCTAAATCGCCACTTGGTCAGTCATACCTGTCGGGTGAGCAGCAAGACCCAGCAGCAGCACACTAGTTCAAACACGACAGCTGTTGAATATTTGTATGAAAGACAAACAATCCTAGTAGAGCTGATTAAAGGGTCCTTCGAAGACTCGGATTTGTCCCGTTGATTAGCGGGCTTCTGCTACTTTACAGCTCTGCTTTGTGACTTTTAGTATGTTTAAATGTCTCAATATAATTGTACAAAATTAATTAAAAAAATCTCCATGAACTCTGATTTAACTCGACTGTATTCTTACCTGAACCAGTAGTTGATGCATTGCTGTTCAATGTCACTAAAATAGAAAATAAAAGAAGTGAAATATGTAGTTACTGTTTCACTTTGGCCTTTATTTCTTTGATACCACAGAGCTGAGATTTTTCTGTTGACGCCTCCTGATGTTTTTTAACCAGTGATATTCTGGAAACAAACCCAGATTTGAGCTCCTGATTATAAAATGGAGAGCAGAGCTGTGTAGGGAGCCTGAAAAGAGCATTGCATTTATCAGATGTGCAATCTTTGAGTATTAAGAGGGAAAAAAAGAGATCTAACTGAACCATCACATCTTGGAAATGCATGGTCTTGACAAAACGGATTTGCCCTCTTAGATTTCTGTTAAAATATTTGAACTCAGACAAGAAAGATGGGAAAATACAACCACATTTAATATTATACTTACAAAAAAAAAAAGCTATCAAAATCATCTATAAACTTTGTGAAAATTACTTTACTAACTAGCAAGATTGCTACAAACTTTTTCACATAGAACCAAATTGGTTTGGGTTTTTTTTTTTTTTTTTTACTCGGCTTATCTTAGTCTGACATTAAAATGCGTCTGACAACTACACGTGTTCTACCAACCTCAGATTAGTGGACTTGTGAACTTGAAACACTCTGTATGCGCCTGGAAACGACAGATCAGTCATGCAGAGGACGCTTCGGACTTTAATCGGACCACGTCAGGATCTGCTGCGTACTGCCGTACTTACCGACGCAGAAGAGATGGCACAGAGCCCAAACGTAGCCGCTGTGGTCAAACTGTGGAGAGAGCATAGAGTAACGAGGCATGCGGCGGTGTCGGCGTTACACCCACCAGTTCGTTGTGGAGAACCGTTACCTGAGGGTCATGCAGGGGCAGGTTGATGGCCGACAGCAGCAGGAGGAAAACGCTGCAGCAGGGAGATGGATAATGTAGGTGTAGAAATTTATGACGTTAAACGTATGCTTAAAAAAAAAAAAACATAATTATGAAAGTGCGGCGTGCATTCAAACTTCTTCCAAGTTTGTGAAGCCTTAGATTTCGATAAAACTAAATGATGTGTTACACCTAAATTGTTGGAATATCTCAGTATTGTAAATTTCTACAAGTGTTATAAACACACATTGGGTGTCCAATTTGTTCCACGTGATTTGATATTTTTCACCCGACAATGCGTTTACCCACATCTAAGGGGTTTTTCCAAGGGCAGATTTTTCTTCAATTGGTAAAATTCTGTAGATTTTCTATCATAATAGTGGCTGAACAGAAAAGCTCACCTGATTATTTTAAGCCGCTGTGTCTTCTGCAGGAGGAGAGAGAACACAAAACTCATGTCATGTACAAGAATCCAATTTTGACAGACTACATTTTTTCGTGTTCATAGCGAGTTCTCGGATTGGAAAATCACGCAGACTGTGTTCAAAGTGTCATAAGATGAACACCAACTAATTCTTGATGCTCCTGTAGACTCATTGTCTAAATTACTTGAGTCTTTTTTTTTTCTAAGAAATCAGATGTTGGTTCCTGAATGACTGTCAGCTGTTTGACTCTAGATCTCAATCGAAATCCAAATCTCTAAGTTTTGCGCAGTGTTGTCACAGAGCAACCAGATATTAACTTCATTGAAATTTTACTATTAAAAAACAAAACAAAAAACAGAGCGTCTTCAGTCAGAGGCTTCTTCAAATAGACAGCTACAGGAGAGCCCCTTCCTGCCCACAACCATCACTATCTGAACTATCTTGAATTGAACTGATACCGCTTTATCAGTTCAAGTCAATTATCAGATGAAGTAACGCAGACAGCAGGCGGCGAATGCGCTTACCTCTCTGTGAACGGCGCGGGCGATTATGTAACTAACTACATGGGAGGAATTCTGAAGAGTGAAGAAGAAAGGAATGTCCTGTGCAAGAAGTGAGAGGAAAACAAAACGGTGAGAAACCACAGTACATACCACACGAGTAAAAAGAAAAAAAAATATCATTTTTGTAGACACCAAACGAGTTATTCCATCACTCACTATTCGTGATAAGGCCCTGGAGCCTGCGTATATATTTCCCACAAAAAGGAATGAGCCCGGAAGCCAGGAGAGAGCAGCGGATCTGTAGCGGACACACACACACACACACACACACACACACACACACACACCTCGCTGTTAGATATGGCTGGTAAGCTGGTAAAACATAAACAGCAAGAGGAGTAGCAGAGGAGCACCTGGGGATGCGACTCATCTCCACCCAGCCCAGCTTTCCACTCAGCAGAAGCAGGGCGGCTCCAATAAATGTCTGCCATCTTGGAAAAACAATCTCTTGTTACTTTATGCGTGAAGACGTAGTGTTGGTTTGTTGTTGTTTTTTTATCTACTCACCCTTGAAACAAAGTTGGATAGGTGAATTTCAACACTGACAGGACAAACTGCAACACAAAACAGTTGGGTTATATTCCGATAGATGTGGTGCCATCATTCATTATTAGGGTTTTGAATTACTTTTAATGAAACTATTCCACCCTGGTCTTGTTTTTTTTAAGCATGTTTTCTTCAGGAATAGCGTCCTTTTTTATTTTTTTTTAGCTCCATCCACCTTCACTCTCCCTGCTGAAGAAAAGGCATCCCCAAAGCATGATGCTGCCACTTCCATCGTCCTTGTTTCAACATTGAGAACGATGTGCATTCTCATTTATTCACTAAAGTTCTCTGAGGCCTTCACAAAACAGCTGGATTTAAACTGGGATTAAATTACAATCGCAAATTAACTGTTTTATGGACTTCTGAAGACACTTGGTAGCACTCGATTTTACTTAGACGTATCAGATGAAAGGGGTGCATCGTCATTTATGTTGTCACGTGGTTACGTAAGAACATAAATGTCTGTTTGTTGTGGGACTTTTAAATAGAGCTTTGTTGTAGCTGCCTTTAGCTTCTACACCGTAGTATAATACAATAATACCCTGGTTGCGTTTTGAATCACACCGGATGAGTACTTTATTAAAACCAGGCATTTATAGACTCCCTTATCCTTTCACCGCTTACCTTATTCGTGAAATATGACACAATGAAAACGAAGCTAAACGCGAGTCCAGACACGTGGCTTCTCCAGTGCATGATGTTCCGCAGACACTCTGCAGAAGATACATTATGTCTATACGAAGACAAAAAATCCTACATTTGATACAATGTATAGCGCCTTCCCCAACAGAACTGTTTTTCAAGCTCGGAAACTTCCCTCACTGCAGACACGTCAAGACGCTAAACAAAGATCGTCTACAAATGGAGAGATGACTCGCTCGCGGGGCACCTGGCTGCACCGTCGACATTAAATGTATTATTATTATTATTATTATTATTATTAGTAGTAGTAGTAGTAGTAGTAGTAGTAGTATGTTAATATAATAGACATAAAAATACAACCTATCCTCTATTACCATCCAGTCTGCATATGAGATTTGACATATAATTATTATCGTGTGTGTATTTATTTATTTTATTTATTTACTTACTATGTCTGTTCACAGAATACTCAACCCACTAAAGCCTTTTTATTTGTATCACTATGTTGTACTGCAGTGTTTCCCATTGCTGTCCTCAGGGTTCACTACCCTGCATGTTTTAGATGTTTCTCTGCTTTAATCCAACTGATTCAGATTACTGCAGCAAAAGCCTGTTAGCCAACCGTCAACTGATTTTACGATTGTTAAAGCAGGGAAAAATGTAAGACATGCTTGGGCACCATGCCTTGAGGGCCATGGTTGGAAAACACTAGTGCAATGGAGTGTTTTGTTTTAACTTAAAACCTTGAGTTCATCTGTTTTTTTTTTCTTTGTTTAACTCTTCCAGTAGTGAATGGTTAACAGCAAAGCATAAGAATGACCATGAAAAAAATATATAACTGAAACAATTTGATAAAAAAAAACACACAACAACAACAACCAGATAAAATGTTTCTTCCACAAACGGTGAAAGTGATTTGGTTCTAGACTTCCTTTTTGACAGAGATACCGCAGCACAGTAATATTTCTTGCTGTCAACTCAAAAACAAAGTAAAACAAAAAAAGTCAGAGTGAGGACTCTTCACTATCGATTTCACACATCTAATTTAGCTGACAGTTGGTCACGTGGTTTCAAGCAAGTTTCCGTGTTGACACAGAGCTTTGTTGCAGAGCAGTCGGTGTTGAGTTTCTGAGGAGGATGCGGCGCGGTCATGGCCTTTTTTAAGACGCAAGAGCGAACCAAGGAAAGGTTAGTGCCGCTCTACCGCTTGTTAGCATTTTATTGTTTCTGCCCGGGAGGTCAGTAGCAGCCTTTTTTTTTTTTTGTCGCAGCTGTATATTTTATACAGCGGGGTGGTGTTTGCTTTCACTGCGGCTGAATGTCATTAATTTACCGTCTGGGCCACTCAGCTAATGAGAGCTTCTCTGACAGCTGTGGGGTGCTTCTCATTATTGAAGTCATGATGCTGCTGCCCGGTTTGAGCCTGAGCCAGGGCGAAACGACACATGACGGCTGCTTCATCTCATGCCTGAAAATAATAAGTGCTAAGTGACTTGCACTGTAATCTATATTTATCTCCAGCCATCATATCATACAAGCTCTGGTTGACCTCACCTCTTTGAGTTGAGGTCATCGATTGTGGTTTGACTCTGGGAACAGTGTTGTTGACAGTAGGTGCTCTAAGCTGAGCTCACGGGTTTTAATGTTAGAATTCTAAAAGGTGTAAAATAAAATTTTTGATGCAGGTAAAATACCTTTAAGCAAGCAGAATTCCGTCAGCAACAAGACAACAGATTGTAAATCTGTTCTTGTTTGTTCAAGAGATAGCAAAACCTCCATTTGTTTCGTGTGGCTATAGGCTATCATCCTCGATATATCGTAAATATATGATTAAAGTAGTGTCAGATCGCGCATTGCTACTATTATTATTTCAAATGACTGTTTGGATTCCATAGGTGAGCGATATGGAATTTTAATTGTATCACGATATTTTGCGGTGCAGTGATAATGACAAAAATTACGATTAAAATAAATTTTTTAGGTAGTTGTATGGCAGTGAATGCATGGCTCTTAGTTTAGTTTTATTTTATTTTTTTTAAAGATTATTAAATGGGATTTAGCAAGACATAATTAACTATTCTTATTATGATAATAAATTTTTCACAATGAACAATGTGATAAAAGGGCTAATATATTTCAAGTCTTCTGGACTTGGATTTTCCAGTTTTCTCATAATGTGCAGCCCTAATCCCCATGATGAAACATAACAGTAGCAATTTTGAGGCAACGTGGTTTTTCTTTTTGTTTTGCTTTGCTTTGCTTTGTTTTGTTGTTGTTGTTTGTTTCTAGTAATGGTGGAGAAGCTGGTCAGAGTTGATTGGAAGGTAGATGAAGCTAAAATACAGGACAGTCCTGAAAGATGACCCGTTAGAGGTTGAGTGAATAGTAGTTCACCTTCCAGCAGAACTATTACAATAAACATCTAGTTAATCTCCAGTTCTGCAACTTTTAGATGTGATTCTTCTTTACCACACCTGGATCAAACAATAAGGTCATCAAGCTGCAAAGTGCTGCAGAGGCACTTCAGCCATTTGACTTTGGTTTGTTGGAGCAGGGATGTATGTAAAGTTTGCATCACTCCAACCTTTTAGGACTTGAGTCCTAGTTTAGATGTGTTAGCATGGCCTAGTTAAAGTCCAGAACTAAATTCAACTGAAAATCTAGAGCAAGAATTGAAAATCGGGACACACTGTTTTGTTTTACCTCGCCTTGTAATTACTTTCACGATTTCATTTCACGACGCATGTTATGTAGAGCGGCCATCTTAAAAGTGACCTGCTAGCTGAAAGTGATGCTCTTTGAACAACATGCGAGTTAAATTATATGGTGATATTTCTGCACGATGACCAGACAGCTTGGGGGTAAACAGGTTACCATGTTCTGGAAGAAAAAATAAAAAATTGAAATAATGTCATCACCACTGAGAAGGGATCAGACCATTGTAGTTTGACATCTATAGGAATTACTTGAGTAAAGTTTGTTTATGTTGGTGTGAAAATGTCCAATAATTAGCCAAAGAGTCCTCCAATAACCAACTGCGTATTCTTGTTTGTTTGTTTGTTTTTTTCTATCACTTGGTTGGTTCAACTACATTGAAACTAAATAGTCATACTCTGTATATTATGTACTAATTTTATTATTTTAGTAATATTTTAGTCTTTTTTTAATATGCTAGTTTTCTGTTGCCTAATGTTCAGTTTTGCTTATTTTTTCCCCCACAGGTTTTCTCTCTTGTTGCTGGACTTGGAGGAATATTACTTTGAGCAGTACACTGCTTACCAAGTGACAAGCCCTTCAATAAAGGAGAAGTAAGTGAGAGCATTAGTGGAAATTCTGAAACTTAATCTCATCATCTGCTTTGCTTCAGGAAATGACTTTCTCAGACAGTTTTTTCCTGAAATATAAAAGACTGATTCAAATCTGTCACTTCTGTAATGTTCGCTTCTTGCCTATGGAGGCTTCTGTTTGCTTAAAGTCGAAGTCTATTGAAGAATCAAACATTGTTTCATTCTGTAATACAAGAGTGAACAAGCTAAAAGATTAAGATCAGATGTTACCAAGCAAAATATAAACACAATGACTATATGCCGGCTAAGCGTAACTGTACTTCTCCCTTTTGTGTTTTAGATGATTTAGGTTTGTTTTAGGAGCTAATGCTAACAGCACAACAACACAATCTGTTGACCTTATTCTGAATTAGAAAATGTTCCAGTTGTGATGTGTACATGATCATAATGTTCTGTCTGTATTATAATCTTTCTGCACCATTAAGAATATTTAGGTTAGAAATATTATATATTAGATTATTTTAAGGATTTTTTTCATGGCAGTGTCTCCTTGAGAATAAAGTGCATTTATGTTAAAGATTAGTTTTGCATGTAAATGTTCTATATGAGGTTGTCATTTCTATATGTGCATATTATATCATTGGACTGTGACCACTCAAATAGTTGAAACAATAACCAAATCTTTAGTCAAAAAAAACCATTACATTTATTTTCTTAGAATTAAATCTTTTTGTTTTCATTTACGAAATGTTTAATTTTATAGAAATAAAACGAAGAAAAACCTTATAATAAATATTGATAGTTCATTTTGACTTTTCTGAAATATGTAACCTGTTTGGTTTTGGTTCTTTAAAAAAAAAAACTGTAAATGTAGTTTAAATAAAACCACATTTTTATTTTTTTCTTCCAGTAAGATCAGAGGTTCCTTCAAAGTTTGCTCCAGATCCATCATATTTGATCCAGATGGCCTTGCAGAGCCAATTATAAAGGTTTGTGATGATACTGCAAATGCATTTTTCTGTCTCTTTAATCCTGCAGTTTATGGAGATACGTTTCACACTTTTACAGTTTCTTAAATCTTCTTTGTAGAAACCATAAAAACCATCCAGTGTAGGATTGTTGAAAGCTAAAACATCAAGTAGTGCAAGTGCAATAAAGACTGACTCGATAACTTTTCTCATGATGGACTGTTTATGTGATGCTATGATTAAGGTGAGATAAGAGAGTTTATTGATCCCACAATCAGGAAATTTACATGTGCTAGCAGGTTTTGAGTAGCTGTGCCCGTCTTTATAGCTTATCCTAATCGATCCTCGATGTTTGCAGATTCCTCTGCGAGACTGTCAGAGAATTGAGTTTGTGGAGAAAGAGAACAATCCTTTTAACGAGTGAGTTTCCCTTCATTTCTGAGTATTTGTCATTTTGTCAAACTGGTTTGCTTACTTGAAAATGTTTTGCAGCTCTGCTGCATGCTTTGTTTTGGAAAAAACAAACCCGTCTGCTAAAAGTTTTTCAACCTCATTGGATTTGTGTTCCTCTCTCAGGCCGCGGCCACCGGCCATCACAGTTTCCTGTGAGCAGGTGAGATATTCCACAAAGCCTCCAACTCAGGGTTGCACTTTTCTTTTTAGTCTGAGTGAATGCGCTTGATTCATTTTCACTTTTTCTTTCAGGTTATCTTCATCAAGGAAAGCAACGTCATTGCGCCGTATAGGAATGAAAGGGTGAGTCAGCTGGAGCTGCTGTTTACCTCATGTGCTTCACTGTAGCAGCCTTCTGATTATCATTATCTCAACTGATTATAACTTAACTTTTACTCACATTTAATTCCAACTAAAGAAAACAGAAGAATTTCAAAGTAAAACTCAATATATGACAGTATTGCATAAGAACTATTTTTTTTAAATTGGTAAAGTAGAGAGTTCTACCAGCCTTTCTGGCTGCTTAACTTAATTTCTCTTATTTTGGCAGGGATCAAAGAAACTGACCTTTGAACTGGAAGGTTGGAGTAAAACAGAAGATGTGGTGCAGACATTATTGCAGGTATGTGATTTTAAAATAGAAAATCAGATTATTCAAGCTGATTGTGTTATTTTAAGGACATTTCAATTGTTTTCATTGCTTTAAGATGTGCACAACACATAACATCCTTTACAAAGTACTTTAACAATATTAGCAAGGCTCAACAAAGTATTGTACAGTCACACCGTGTACAGTGTAAAGGACAGAGTAAAAGAACAGCACAAACACACTCAGAAATTGTATAAAAGTTATTTCAAATACTGAGTCAAACAAGTTAAAACAAATATAACAAAGGAATGATAATTATAATCCATATCTCACATTTGTTTGGAGCTAATTGAGGAAGAAATCAGTTTACATTCAGTCTTTGGAACAACTTCAAAAAGGCTTCTGCTCCAGTCGCAATTAGAGAAAAGTTTATGACTTCTGCTAATTTTACTTGACAATGAAGTGTCAGAATAGAATCAATACTCACTTCTAGTTTTTATAAAGGTTTGTTTTATAGGAAGAAAGATAAATACAAGGTGTCCTCCTGGTGTCTTCAGCTTTGAGCAACATCACTTTCACCTCGCATTTAAGTTTCAATGATGGGATGTTGCTCAAACGTCAAAATAAAGCCGAACTGAGCGCACACTGATGGTGTTGAGCAGAAAATAAAGGTTAAAAAATGCATAGATGCTGAAAAAGTGCACAGAGTCGCAGCACAGACAATAGAAAAAGTGGAGGTCTGAGATTAGTACCCTGTGGTACTCCCCACCCCGATTTCATTTTAGCCAAGGAAAGAACTCGGTTTTCCACTTTTTCAGAACTTTACATAAGAAAACAACAACAACAAAAAATAACACCCCAAGTCTGACTAAAGAGAACTGCCAGAGTGGGAGCCTGATGGGTTCATACTGGAAACCAGATGGATGACAGGCAGACTGGCTCCAAGCGGTCAAACTCATACACAGGGTAGTAAAACCAATGGATCTTCAGGGGATTGTGAAATAAGAGCCCCGGTCTTTACCACCTTCTCCATTTTCACCACACAGGAGGCATCACTCCTTCCCAAAACATCACCAGAAATATTAAATGGGGAAATATCAGACAACTTGTGTGATTTTGGTCTCAGACATGTTCTTGTGTCATGGATGTTTCGTACTGTTGTTGTACAAATTTGTGGCATTCCTAGGTAGTTTGGTGAGCACACTGCTACCCTCTGCTTCTCTACTGATGATGTCACAGTAAAAGTACCGAAAACATGGAGAACTGCTAGCAAAACAAAACCCACAGCCACCCTGCACATTCATCTACCGAGGAAAGGATGTTCCCTATTAGCAGGGATGCATTTATTATGTAAAATTTGGGACCTGGAGATCAGCCAGTTTCTGTAGTATTATTGCAAAAAAAAAAAAAATTGATGAAATGTGTTTAATCCTCTCTTAGCCCTTTATCTCATTGTTATTTTTCTGTTTTTATCTTCCTAAATCTGGTAGCTCCACAGGGCTTCCTGTCTGGACAAACTAGGAGACCAGACGGCTATGGTAGGTTAATCATTACCTCACCTCACCTCATTTCTACGGAGCCCCTAAGGGGACATGGAGAAAAAAAAAAAAGGAAAAAAATCCCGACTTATTATCCCGAGATCCCGAGAAACTAAGTCGAGATCTCGAGATCCCGACTTATTATCGCGAGATCCCGACTTATTATCTCGAGATCCCGACTTATTATCTCGAGATCCCGACTTGTTATCTCGAGATCCCGAGAAACTAAGTCAAGATCTCGAGATCCCGACTTATTATCTCGAGATCTCGAGATCCCGACTTATTTTCTCGGGATCTCGCGATAATAAGTCGGGATCTCGAGATAATAAGTCGGGATCTCGCGATAATAAGTCGGGATCTCGCGATAATAAGTCGGGATCTCGAGATCTCGACTTAGTTTCTCGGG